TCAACGTGAATCGTTGGACAGTGACGTTGCGAAGGAGATCAGGTACCTCGACGAGGTTTTGGAAGCCAATTGCTGCGACTCTGTTCTGGAGAACGGATCGAATGTGCCAGCTTCTCCTGAGCCAAGTACAGCGATCACAGACAGGCAAAGTCCACCCCTTTCCACCAGGCTCGACGCTCCACTCTCGCCCGACAGTTCCATCGCAAGACAGGGGTCCCCTCCTGTGGAGCAACAGGAGACTGACGACGTGAAGGCAGGCGAGATCAATCTGAACGGCCACTCCACAGGGAATACTACGACGGAACCACTTTCCAATCAGAAGAGTGTGGGGAGGGAGCAGCAGGAGGAAGTGTCACCTCGCAGGAAATCCTTCAACAATGGCGAAGCGACCATCATCCCTCTGAAGAAAGAAGCCAAGTTTGAGCTCCGGGCCTATCACGAAGACAAGAAACCCTCCAAGCTTTTTGTGGACGATGACAAAAACGAATCCTACAGGATTAAGAAAACTCGAGCTTCCAGTGAAATAGCTGAACTTGAAAGAGCAAGACGAGAAGTCATTAGAAGCCAAGTGGTCAAGAAGAATCCCAGTATTGCAGAGAAATGGAAGCCACCACAGGAGAAGACTATTGAGGAGCAGCTGGACCCAGATAAGCTGGAATCGCACAAAAAATATGCGGAACGCAAACAGAAGAAACAGAGCGGGGGCCTTTCCCCAGTTTCTCCAAGACAGAAAGCCCACGTGTTTGTAACGCCGGACCCCATCATTGTAAACAGGGAAGATGTCGTCACGGAGCAGATAGATTTTTCAACAGCGAGGCAGCAGTTTTTAAAGATGGAAACCAAATCGGAAACGTCCGCTCAGCCCAACCAGAAGCGGCCGGTAGCCAATAAGGGGGTCTCGTTGAGGTCAGGGACAAGGACGGCAGACACACTGGTAAAAGACAACAGTGCGGCTGCAGTAGGGATGACTGAGCTAGCTGAAGCTCACGGGCAGACGGTGCAAATCGGGGCCAGTGAGGTGTCCATTGGGAAAGCGTCCAAACTGAGCATGAAGGTGCCTGGAGGAGAGCAGGAAGCTGCATTCCAGGGGATGGCACCCACGCTGCAGGGTAACCAGCAACAAGAGGAAGTAATTGGCACGGTGCCCCTTCGACAGGCTTCTCCTGACCAATTTATCAGCAACAGCATGAAACACCAGGTGGTCAACAAAGTCTTTGTGGACGATGAAGGGTTTACTCAGGTCAGGGCAGTTTTGACGATGCTCAATGAAGACGGCGACAGTGACGTTTCCGACCAATATTTTAAGTGCGTCAGCCTTCCTGCAACCACAGAAGAGCTGGATTCTGGTTTGGACGAGCTGTCCATTCGATCGCAGGACACCACTGTGATGGAGACGCTCTCCAACGACCTCAGTATTGATAATGTGAGTGACAGTGGTGCTTCAAATGAGACCATGAACGTTTCCCTGGATTACTCACTGGGTGGATCTCAGGAGTTTTCCCACCCTCAGACACCCCCGGCGCTAACCCCCGTGGACAGAGAGAGAGATGAGCGCTCCCTCAAGGCGGAGTTAACCTCGAGCCCGCTAGGAGACGGTGAGCCGGACCAGTGCCGGGGGCTATCGGACACGGACCGAGAGCTGCAGTACCGAGCGGAGATGTTGGTACAGAATGCCATTCAGCTCGCATTGGCGCAACAGAGCCACACAGACAGGGCTGGGACGGGCGAAGATCACCCAACGGCACCACCGCAGCCGATAAGGGTGTTGGCAGATGAGCAAGTGCCCGTCGACCCTGTGGGGGCTGCCCTGTCGAAACCGCGGACAGCGACGTCGGAGCCTTCCCATGCCCCAGCGCCCGTGGCACAGGAGCGGCGATACTCCTCCGTGTCGAAGGGATCGGCAGTGGATGTAAAGTGCGGCACCATGGACGTCCCCCGGGCCAGCTCGCCACCTTCCCTGTACAAGCCCGAGTTCAGCCCTTTCAGCGACAGTGCCAACTATTTGGAACCGACGGACTATTCCCGAAACAATGTCTTTGTCAGCCACTCGCAGGAGCCCGAGGTCATCGCCCAAACGGGGCCGTTTAAGCTGCGCACCCGCCGGCAGAAGACCCTGTCGATGATCGAGCAGGAGATCCGGGCAGCGCAGGACCGAGAGGAGGAGCTGCGGCGCCAGAGGGAGGTCCTCAGGACTGTTCAGAGACCCACCAGAGCCAAGCAGCCCATGCTACCCCAGGCCTATTCTTCCAGAACAACAGCCCCCGGTAAGAGTCCATCGCACTCCATCCCTGGGAGAGGCAGACCAAGCAGTCTGCTCCAGACTCCATCTCCTTGATTCGAGCTCATGAACCTAGATCCTGAGTAGAAATTAATGTCAGGGTTTCCGAAATGAACTCATTCCAATTTGGTCAAGCAATATAAACAACGGAATTTTCAGGGCCACGAGGCCAGTGCAGAGGAGTAGGCCCAATAGGATCTTTCAAGAAACTAACATGTGCATGCTGACCCGAATGGTCTCCTTTCCATGCTGTGGTTCAGTGGTTTACGTAGAATTTACAGCACAAAAACAGGCCATTCAGTCCAACTGGTCTGTACTGGTGTTTATGTTCCACATTAAACTCCTCTTCTCATTTGGGCGGGCTAACCTTCTAGTACTTTCTCCATCACATGTTGATCTTGTTCCCTCTTAAATATTTCTACAATAATCACCTTAAGCATTCCCTTTGTTCCATATTTTCACCATATTCTGGGAAAAGACCCTTCTCCCGAACTGCTTATTTGTTCAGTCTCTTCCATTGATAACCACTGGTTTTGGTTCTGACAGTTAAACTTGATAACAATGACGGTGGTAGAAGCAGGAGGCAATCAATGATTTCAAAAAGAAATTGGATAGGAGTTTGAGGAAGATAAACTTGCGGAGGTACAGAGATAAAGCTGGGAAGTGGGACTGACTGGATTTCTTTACAGCATGGACTTGATGGACCAAAAGGCCTCACTCTGAGTTGTAATGACTTCAGAACAAGAGATGGGTAGTCAGTGGACTAAGCAGACTGCTGTTTTGTCAAGCTTGTACAGGTGTGCCAGACTGAATGGAACAAAACCAGAAGTTGCTGCAAAAGCTCAGCAGGTCTGGCAGCATCTGTGAAGCAAAAAATCAAAGTAAAAGTTCCGGATTCAGTGCCCCTTCCTTAGAACCCCTGATTTCTGAGGAAGGGTCACCAAACACGAAATGTTAACTCTGATTTTTCCTTCACAGATGCTGCCAGACCTGCTGAACTTTTCCAGCAACTTCTGGTTTTTTTCCTGATTTACAGCATCCGCAGTTCTTTCAGGTTTTATGTCAGACTGAATGGTCATCTTCTCTATTGTAAGTTTCAGTGACTCTGGAATGTCTTCATTGGGGTGAGTCCCTGTTACTTATCCTTCCCAGACTTTTGGACATGAGATTGCCCAGCCTGGTCAGAACCTGCCTTATCAACTGAATCTCAGTATCACATTGAGACCAAGAGAGGCCAATCGCAGGGTTTGAATGTTTCAGTTGAGATAGAGAGGAATGTAAAAGGGGTGGAGGGGTTGCATTATTGATTGAGACAAATGTCACAGCTGTACTAAAAGAGGGCGTCTTGGAGGGCTCATCCAGTGATGCCATTTGGGTCGATTTCAGGAATAAGAAAGCTACAGTCACTATGATGGAGTTACTCTATAGGCCTGTCAATAGCCACAAAGATAGCAGAACAGATCATGGAAAGATGTAAACACAAAACGGTTATTTTTAACTTCCCCAGTTTTGACTGGGACTCCCTTCGTAGCAGGAGCTTAGGTGGGTCAGAAGTTGTTAGGTACATCCAGGAGGGTTTCTTAAAACAATATGTAGATGGTCCAAGGAGGGAAGGAGCTGTAATGGACCTTGTATTGGGAAATGAGCCTGACCAGGTGATCGAATGAGGAAGCATTTTAGGAACAGTGATCATAATACCATAAGTTTTAAGACAGCAATGGATAAAGATAACACTGATCCTCGGGTGAAAGTGCAAAATTGGGGGAAGACAGTTTTAGGCAGGAACTGGAGAAATTAGATTGGAGGTGGCTGTTTGAGGGTAAATCCCCACATTTGACATATGGGAGTCTGGTTGATCAGAGGCAGGGCCAGCCTGTTACTGCAAGGATGAAAGATAAACCTAGAACTGTACAGCACAGGAACATGCCCTTTGGTCTGCAACGTTGTGCCGAACATAACACCAAATTAAACTAATCTCTTCTGTCTGCCCTTGGTCCATATCCCTCCCTTCCTTGCATATTCATGTGCTTATCTAAAAGTCCCTTTGAACTCTCCTATTGTATCTGCCTGCACCACCACCTCTTGCATGGCATTCCAGGCTCCTCCATTCTCTGTGTAAAAAATCTTGCCCCTCACATCTCCTTTGAACTTTATCCCTCTCACCTTAAATGTATGCCCCTTGGTCTTAGACATTTCAACTCTGGGGAAAAAGATTCTGACCATCAACCCTATCTGTGCATCTCATAATTTTATAGATTTCTGTGAAGTCTCCTCTCAGCCTCTGCCGCTCCAGAGAAAACAACCCGAGTTTTTCTAGCCTAACCTTCTGGGTCATATCCTCTAATCCCGGCAGCATCCTGATAATCCTCTTCTGCACCCTCTCTGAAGCCTCCACATCCATCCTGTAATGTAGTGACCAGAATTGAACATAATACTCCTAAGTTTAGCCAAAATGGCAAGATTTGGGAACCTTGGGTGACAAGAAGGGCAAGTCAAAAAGAGAAAGGAAGCATATGGAAGGTTTTGAAAAGCGATGAGAATGTAGGTGGTCTGATTAGTAAGTTTGCAGACAACACAAAAATAGGTGAAGATGTGGGTAATGGGGAAGGTTATCAAAGGATACAGGAGGTTATGGATCAGTTGAAAAGTTGGGCAGAGAAATGTCAGATGGAGTTTAATTCAGACAATGAGGTGATACATTTTGCAAGGTTAAATGCTAGAGGAAAGTTTACAACAAATGGTAGGACCCTTATGAGCATTGATATACAAAGGGATCTTGTGGTGCAAGTCCATATCTCCCTGAAAGTGACAACACCAGTAGATAAGGGGTATGGCATGTTTGCCTTCATCGGTCAGAGTACTGAGAATAAAAGTTGGTATGTCATGTTGCAGGTGTATAAAATTTTAGTTAGCCTACATTCGGAGTACCATGTGCAGTTCTGGTCACCATATCATAGGAAGGATGTGGAAGCTTTAGAGAGGGCGCAAAAGAGGTTTACCAGAAGGTTGCCTGGATTGGAATGTATTAGCCATAAGGAGAGGTTGGACAAACTTGGATTGTTTTTGCTAAAGCATCAGAGGCTAAGGGGGGCGACCAGATAGAAATACATAAAATTATGAGGGCATGGATAGAGCCGATACTCTAAGTCTTCTTCCCAGGATGAAAACATCAAATACTAAGGGACATAAGTTTAAAGTGAGGGGGAGAAAGTTTAAAGAAGATGTGCGATATACTTTGTTTTTGCAGAAGATGGTAGGTGCACTGTCAGGGGAAGTAGTAGAAGCAGAGACGAGGAGCTCTTGGCACAGTGGTAGTGCCCCTTTCTCTGAACCAGGAGTCCCATGTTGAAGTTCCACCTGCTCCAGAGGCATATAATAACATCTCTGAACAGGTTGATTGGAAAATATCTATAAGCGGAGACGATAGCAATGTTTAAGAGGCATTCAGACAGGCACATGAACAGGCAGGGGATAGCGGGATATGGACCATACACAGGCTAATGGGATTGGTTTAAAATGGCATCACGGTTGGAACAGACATGGTGGGCCGAAGGACCTATTCCTGTGTTGTATTGTTCTGTGTTCATTGACGTTAATTGTTTAAAGAGATGCCATACAAAATGGAGCATTGGGGACAATCATCTGCTTCCCTGGGACGGAGACTAGGATCACCAAGCTCTCCAGCACCTTCGGACAAGGTGGCAGGATTGTCTCTGTGTGCCCATGAAGACATTTAAACGATGAATCTGACCCCATGAACCTTGAAGGGGTCAGCACCAGTGGTGTGAAATACCACATGAATTTTCAGGGGAATGTTCCTGCCAGCTTTCCAGGATTGATGAATAATCGCTTTCCATAACTTGGTTTAGTGTTTTCAGTGTCCACTGTGACTACTGGAAACTATCCTTGCCTCCGGTAATTGGTTCAAGTCCCACTCTCGAAGCTTCAACACAATATCCAGGCTGGTGTTCCAGCACAGCGGCGAGAGAATGCTACAAGATTGAAGGTACAATCTTCCTCGAGCCTGTTCAGGATTCAATGAAGAGTGTGGCTGCAATGTATTTGAGCTCCATTTTAATTGCTTTCATTCCTTGGCCTGACTGAACAAATCGATCAGTCTCTGCCCTATTTCAGTTCTGGCTTCTTGAGCATTTACAATTTCAGGAGCTCCACCACTGGGGCTTGCGCATGGTCCATATCCCACTATCCCCTGCCTGTTCATGTGCCTGTCTGAATGCCTCTTAAACATTGCTATCGTCTCCGCTTCTAGATATTCTCTAATCAACCTGTTCAGAGATGTTATTACCTGCCTCTGGAGCAGGTGGGACTTGAACTGGGACTCCTGGTTCAGAGAAAGGGGCACTACCACCGTGCCAAGAGCCCTTAGTGTCTGCTTCAACTACCTGACAGTGCTGAAGCCCTGATCTTTCTGGACTTCCCTCCCGAAACCTCTCCACTTCCTCTTTTTTTGTAACATACCATGCGTTAGGCAACTTAATAAGAACCCATGGGGTTGGATATAGCATATTAATATCAATAGAGGATTGGCAAATTAATAGAAGAAAGGATAAAGTGGGCATTTTTGGGGTGGTAAACCTGTAGTGTAGTACCATAGGGATCAGTGTCAGGGACACAATTAATTACAGCATATGTTAATGACCTGGATAATGGAAGTGAATGTACTATCTCCAAGTTTGTGAATGATGCAAAAATAAGTGGATAGGCAAATGGTGAGGATGGCACAAAGAGTCTGCAGAAGGATATAGACAGGTTAAGTAAGTGAGGAAAATACTTAGTGGATGGAGTATAATGTGGGGTTATGCACTTTGGCAGGAAGAATAAGGAGTTGAATATTATTGAAATGGAGAAAGACTGCAGAAGGCTACAGAACAGAGGGTTTTGGGAGTCCTCATGCGTGCATCACATAAAGCTGGCATCCATGTTTAGCAGGTAACAGGGAAGGCAAATGGAATATTGGCTTTATTT